TGTAGCATAGTACATGTCATACTTTTATATTTCAATCATCAAACAACAGTTGCCCCCTTTTCATCAGCCTACTAGTAATCCATGGGGATCCATAAGGGTCCTTACTACACGTAAACCATTCCCTTGACAAACTTAATTTCCAGGGCCGTCCCCATACCCCGTCTGGTATGGGCGCCACACAATAAATCTCAATACCCCATCCGGTATGAGGGTGAAGCGGGCCGTCCTTATACCCTGTCTGGTATGAACGCCAAAACATTTAAAATCTCCATACCCCGTCCAGTATGACGGTGAAGCGGGTCGTCCTCATACTCCATCCGGTATGAACGCCAAAATATTTAAAATCTCCATACCCCGTCCGGTATGAGACAACGTTTCCGGTAGGGTTCCCTATGGACCCGATCCATCCACCATCTCTCAAAATATCTAGTGAGGGTGTCAACTTATCCATTTATCAATTCACATACATTTTTTATATTTATTTATTTTTCCTTAGTTTTTTGTTTCTCACATAATCATGAATATCTAAACAAGTAACGAGCATCCAACAAGGCAAGCATATCATCGGATTCAAAAAATCAAGCCATAATAAAGTAAACAGTGATTCATGTATTCAAAACCATAGAATAAATAAATCAGATACTCTACTGCATTTAGACTGTAAAATAAATCAAATATGAATTGATAGAGAAATATGTCCAGTTCGGGACTCCATTAACAACCGTAATAATTATGTATATCTATTTAGTTCATAAAATATAGTTTTATCATTTATTAAATTTTAATTCCGTGATAGGAAATAAGGTGAAGGGTCTTTACCTGATTCGAAGCCGAAAGTTGGATTTTCACTAGGCCTACGGGCAGTCCCTAGGTTCTCTGAATTTTTGTTCAGGAACTGAAACGCGCTTACGGTACCTACACATGTCCCAAATAACTCAAAAATCAGACCCAAGGCCTATTCGGCCAATTTCAGAATTCTGGCACGGCGGCTCCGTCGTGCTCCGGCGACAAGCGGCGACGATCCGCCTCGAGTTGACTGTTTCTGACCGTTTTCGGCCGAATTTGGCCAAACTTGCATTGGTTCTTGTAAGAAAACACCCCTAGAGCCCTTGATGGGCCCAAAAAAACACCAAAAACTGAAACTTACCGGCAGCGGGGCTCTCCGGTGCGGCGGCTCCTCCGGCTCGAGTCGCAATTTGGTGTTTTGCTCCAGTCAACCTATAGAGAAATGAATGGTGGTCACAATGGTATAAAAATTACATTAAACAGGAATTAGGAAGGGCCTCATCGGAGGCAAAAATTGAAAAAATATGCGGCAACGTTTTCCGGCCAATTGGCAGGTGTTTTGACTCCAATTTGGCCATAAGTGGGTTTAGAATCGAATTCTGAGCGAAGGAAAGAATTTTTACCTCGTTTGGCGGCCGAAAAGTGCTCCGGTGCGGCGGTGGGTGGCGGCGGTCGGCTTTTCGGCGGCTGGGCTGTCTTCTCCGGCGAGGGCTCTGGCGGCTAGGGTTAGGGTTTGGGTGTGGATGAGATTATTTATAACCTTCCGCTTTTAATCTGAGCTGTCTATCGCGATTTAATTTGGGCCGTCCGATCTCGATTAAAAAGGAAATGAATATGGACCGTTCATCGCGATGCAATCTGGGCCGTCCGTGCGCGCGGGAACGAATCTCAGCCGTTCGATCGCACGCACACAGATCGCCCATGTGGCTCCCTTCCGCGTGGCCTACTGCATCAGTGTCTCTGCCACGCGGTGCGTTCTGGTCGGCTGAGGTTGCTGACCAGGTAGCTGACGTAGTGCAATTTTTCTAAATTGCGTTTTGACCCCCGGTTTTTAGATTTTCTTTCAAAAATACTCTAAGAACCCAAATTTTCACATCTTTTTCCCAAAATTACTTTCAATTAAATCTCTAAATTTACTTTTGTTTGTCGGTAAAGTACCTTAATTTATTTTATTGAAAGAGAAAGAAATTTTATTTATTGTTTCAAAATAAATTTCTGTACATGTTTAGGGAAAAGTTTTTCAATTTCTTCGGAGAAGTAGAATTCTTTATGTCCACCCGGTAGTTTGAACTTAAAATAAAATGTGGTTAGATTTTCTTGCTGCAAATAAATATTTCTTTTGTTATCATTTTAAGTTTCTTGCTTCTTTCGTTTTCAATTAATTTTTTTCGGTGTCCAGATTTGAAAAATAAGCAAGTAAGTAAATATGTTCCGATACATTAGTTTGAAAGAAAAAGTTACTTTGATGACACTTTCTCTTGAAGAGTTGTCAAGTTTTCTCACATAGAGTTGACAAATTAACGTAGACAAAACATGAATGCTTTTGTTATTGGGATATTCATCTTATGTGAGAAAGGTTGTCATTCTTTATTTTGAAGCGACATCAGGTAACAAGATTTGCTTTCGTTTGTCGGTAAAAGTGTCATAATTTATTTTATTGAAAGTGAGAGTAAATTGATTTAATGTTTCAAAATAAATTTTTGTCCGTGGTTAAGGAAAAGTTTTTCAATTTCTTATGAGAAAGTAGAATTTCTTGTGTACATCTGATAATTTTAACTTAAAAAAAATATGGCTGGATCTTCTAACTACAAGTAAATATTTTTGGTATCGTTTTAAGTTTCTCAATCTTTCAAAACAAACTTACTTTATATCCTTAGACGTCTCATGTTGAAATATTTAAGTTCGGAAGTAAAATAGCTCAATTCATTTTTTTTTGAAATTGAAGGTGTCTTTATTTGTTTTTTAAAAATAATTGTTCCTATTGGTGTTTGAGCAAATGTTCCTCAATTTTTTGGGGCAATTATGTCCCTCAGAATAGTTCCAATTCTTAAAAAAAATGTGACTTGATCTTTTAGCTGGAAGTAAATATTTTTTGATATATCAACTTAAAATTTTTTAACCTTTTGTTGAAACATAATTACAGTTGGTGTTTCATATGAAAAGTGTACCAGTTGGAACATTAAGAGAGGCTCAAGTATCTATTTTTTAGAAAATGAGATGTTTCTCGGTGCATAAGAATGTGATTCTTGATTTTTCATGGCAAAAATAGAAACGCTTTGATCCTTCAAGTTGTACCAACTCAAAAAAGATATGACCTAAAATTTCGATCCAAAGTAAATATGTTTCGGTGTGTCGGTTTGAAAGTAAAAGTTTCTTTCGTGGCACACTCTCTTATGGAGAGTTAGGGATCCTTTCACTTGGTGATGATAATATGCTTTCCCAATCTATTTTTAGAATGGATGGAAAAATTTGATGTTCGCTTATGGGAATTGTCATTTTATATGAGGAAGGTTGCCACTCTTCATTTTGAAGCCACATTGATAATCTTGGTGCAGGTTTGTATCTCAGTAAAAGTACCTCAATTTGATGTTTCAAAACTGACATTGTATTAACTAATTCTTTGGAAATAAATGTGTCTCGGTATCTATGCAAAAGCTTCACAGTTTTCCAAAGAAAAGTAAAATTCATTTAATCTCTTGATTTTTTGGAGCAATGAAAGATTTTGCCGGTCCCTTAGATAAATCTATCTCTAAAAAATCGTCCCTTGATCTTTTAAATGGAAGTTATTTTTCTTCGGTATGTTGGTTTAAAGTTTCTTGACCTATTGCTTCTAAAATAAATTTACAGGTGTCCTATATGAAAAGTATACTAGTTGGAAAAGTAAGTGCATCTCAAGTAATTCTTAGAAACTGAAAGCCTGTTGTATAAAGATAAATGTGTCTTGGTGCAAAAAGAGAATGATTTTGGATTTCCTGCAGCAAACTAAAACTTTTTAATGCCTCAGGTTATCCGAACTCTAAAAATTGTGGTTTTAGACTTTTGATTTAAAGTAAATATTTTTCAGAATAAAACATTACTTTGATGACACCCTTTCTCTTGGAGAGTTGGCAACTTTTCTCTTATAGATCTGGCAGTGTGCTTTCTCAATTATTTATTACTACAAACGAAAGACATGAATGTTCGGTTATGGGAATTATTCATTTTATTTGAGAAAGATCATCGTTCTTGATTTTGAAGCCAATTTAATAAACTTGATATGCTTTCTTTTCTCAGTTAAAGTTTCCAAATTCATTGTTTTGCAAATAAAAGTGTATTGGTTTATTGTAAATAAATGTACTTTTATGTGTCGGTAGATGTTTTTCAATTTCTTGGGAAAAGGTAAATCCTCCAATCACTACGGTAGTTGGAAGTCAAGAAAAGTATGCACGGATTTTTTTTTGTCGCAGGTTAATATTTTTTGGTATGTCATTTCAAAGTTTCTTTGTTATTTTTGTTTAACAATAATTACCTATGGTGTCCCATATGGAATGTGTCCAGTTTTGGAAAGTAAGAGCACTTAATTTATTAATTTGGAGCATAAAAGTGTTTTGGGAAGTAAAGAGTTTATTAGAGTTTAATTTAAATATTTTAAAAAAATTCATGTTTAAAAGATCACACACGCACAAATATATACTAAAAAATGAAACCACACAAAATTTATAAAATCTAAATAAGACTAGTCAATAAGAGGTGAAACTATATTTTGCTCTTTATTAAATTAATTTTACCTCTTATTATTATTATTATTATTTCTATTTAATTAAATTAAAATAAATTAAAACTATATAAAAATTCATATATTCATATAAAAATTACAAAAAAATTAAAATAAAATAATACTAATAATAATAATAATAATTGGAGTGTTACAAATTTTACCCAATATAGAATTTTTAGTTATTTTAAATAATAATTTTTTTGACAATTATTTTTATTAAATTAATTTTTCTATTTTAATTAATAATTATTTAAACATAATAAAACAAGAGGGCACAAAAACCCACCAAAAAGTCATTAGCCTGTAAAAACAAACGTGTTTATTTTTCAGCCCAATCTTTGGTTTTCCTTTTTTACCCCTCATATATCGCGTATTTATCACGCGGAGGTGGCGTCAAAAGGACGCACCGCAGCCCGCCTATAAAAACGCGATTTTCAGAGGCTTCTACTTCACTGTATCGCTGTCTGCTTTTGGCTTTGTCTGGGTACACCTCCTCCTGCCTATGATCCCTTCAAACTCTTTAATTTTGCTTATGTTTAATCTTATTAAATTAGGTTTTTCTTATCTACCGGTTCTGTTATTGTATTCATCAAGCGGAGGTATTTTGGATCGACCACCACCCGGTGCTTGAACGCCTCTATCTGCAAATTCTGATTACTCATTTGTCCTGCTCCCGCCCGAACGCCGACTCCGATCTACTCCTCAAATTTAATTCTGAGACTACCCAACCGAAATCCTTTAGTTTTTGACGATGGTGTCGAAAACCAGAAACCAGTGGGAGAAATATATGTACGAAAAGGCGGGTTAGGGTTTTGAAATCGTAGGAGTCTTGTTGAGAAAATGGAAAAGGGAGGTAGAGATTGGGGAAAACAGAATGATTCACGAAAATTAGAAACAGAGGATATGTTTTTTTGATGCAAAAGAACAAGGATCAAATGGGTTCTCCCCAAGTTCTTCGAATTAAGGAAACATCAACGGGGAAGACCATGTCTGAGCACTGAAAATGGCGGATCTAGAAATTACCCACATGGCGGACGTGATCAAGATGGCATCATCATTGTCGACCATGGCTCGCGTCGAAAAGAATCCATTCTCATGCTAAGTAAGAAATGAAGGTTATCTCTTTTCCAAATTTTCTTCTTTGTTTTTTGTTTTTAATTATATTCGACTTTAAGTGCTGCGCTGATTTGTGTCTCGGCTATTGTGAATTTCAGATGAATTTGTTGCCATGTTCAGAGATGAAACTGGGTATCAGATTGTGGAGCCTGCTCATATGGTAATTTTTCAACCGCTTGCCTTTCTTGTGCACGTATATTCTTTTCCAAAATTTGGTTTTCATATGGTTCAGTTGGTTAACAGTTTGAAGACCGTCTTTTTGAAAATTATAGTTTAGAAATTCCATGCTGTCAATATTTTCAGTTTGTGTACATGCTCAAATATGTCCCAGGAGAATCTTTTTCTTTTATAATCCTTGTTTCATTCTGACGTCTGAGGATCTTGTAGTTATATATCAAATGTGCAAAATCTTTTACCAGTAAGATGGGTTAAGGTAGTCCAAAAAAGCTTCTCATTCTGAAGTCTGTCAATATTTTCAGTTTGTTTACATGCTCAAATATGTCCCAGGAGAATCCTTTTCTTTTATAATCCTTGTTTCATTCTGAAGTCTGAGGTTCTTGTAGTTATATATCAAATGTGCAAAATCTTTTACCAGTAAGATGGGTTAAGGTAGTCCAAAAAAGCTTCTCAATCTTTAACGATCAATTGCAAATTTTTTTTTTCCAAAAGATCTCAGATCATGTATGGACCGTGAGTGATGTCATTGTCCTTGTAATATGATATTTAAATTTCAAATACTATTCTGGTTTGGCTCTCTATGTTGTATACCCCTCAGTTGGATCAAACTTTTGACTCGGTTTGGCCCAGATCGTTTTGGTTGTTCATTCTTTGATGTTGCTTTAGATGTACATATTTTAGAAACTCATGGAAAAGCAGTTGCCCATATTGTGCTCTATGATATTCTTCTCATACAGAGATAGGGGAAAACAGAATGATTCACTAAAATTAGAAATAGAGGATATGCTTTTTTGATGAAAAAAAACAAGGATCAAACCTTCCCAAGTTAGACGTTCAAATTGAAGGTTTTTGAACCCTAGTTTATTTAATTTAACAGAGGAAGTTAACTTTCTTGAAAAATAGTAAATGAGGTAATTGGACTCCCCTTTGCAGTTGTTACTCGGGACTTGTTGTTGAAAGGAACAAATAAAGTTTCTTCCTGTTGCTGGTTATGCAGGCGACCAGTGCAGCTGTGCGGATGTGTGGCATGTGGGTATCATTTTACGCCATGTACTTTCTTAAGAATGGCGTTTTCGCTCTTACTGAGTTTTATAGGGTGGTCATCGGGATACTTATTTTATGTGAGAAAGGCTGTCGTTCTTCATTTTAAGCACACATCAGGTATTTAAATTTACTTTTGTTCGTCGGTAAAAGTGTCTTAATATATTTTATTGAAAGTAAGAGAAAATTGATTTATTGTTTCAAAATAAACTTTTGTTCGTGTTTAAGGAAAAATTTTTTTATTTCTTCGGAGAAAGTTAAATTTTTTGTGTTTGTCTAGTAGTTTGAACTTAAAACAAAATGTGGCTGGATCTTCTGACTGCAAGTAATGTGTCGCTTTAAGTTTCTTGCTTCTTTCGTTTTCAAATAATTTTTTACGGTATCCCGGTTTGAAAAGTAAGCAAGCGAGTAAATATATCTTGATATATTAGTTTGAAAAAAAAAATTTACTTCGATGACACTTTTTCTTGAAGAGTTTGCAAACTTTCTCACATAGAGTTGACAAATTAGCCCAGACATAAAACATGGATGCTTGGTTGTTGGGATATTCATCTTATGTGAGATAGGTTGTCGTTTTTCATTTTGATGCTACATCAGGTAATTAGATTTGCTTTTGTTTATCGGTAAAACTGCCTTAATTTATTTTATTACTAGTGAAGGAATTGATTTATTATTTGAAAATAAATTTGTGTTCGTGTTCAATAAAAGATTTTTGATTTCTTCGAAGAAAGTAGAATGCTTTGTATCTGTCCGGTAGTCTGATCTTAAAAAAAAAGTGGCTGGATATTCTGAATGCAAATATTTTTTTGTACTGTTTTAATTTTCTTGCTAATTTTGTTTTCAAATAATTTTTTTTTGGTGTCCCGGTTTAAAAAGTAAGCAAGTAAGTAATATGTCCCGATATATTAGTTTGAAATAAAAAGTTACTTTGATGACACTTTCTGTTGAAGAGTTGGCAAACTTTCTCACATAGAGTTGAAAAATTAGCGCAGACATAAAACATGGATTCTTAGTTATCGGGATATTTATCTTATGTGAGAAATGTTGTAGTTCTTCATTTTGAACCCACCGAAATTTTTTTTGATTTTTTTGGAGACAATTGAATTCTTTGTGTTTGTCCGGTAGTTTGAACTTAAAAAAAAAATGTGACTAGATCTTTTGACTTCAAGTAAATATTTTTTGGTATCGCTTTAAGTTTAATGCTTCTTTCATTGAAAAATAAATTTTTACGATATCCCAGTTTGGAACGTAAGCAAACAAGTAAATATGTCTCAATATATTAGTTTGAAAGAAAAAGTTACTTTGATGACACATTTTGTCTTGAAGAGTCGGCTAACTTTTTCACATAAAGTTGACAAATTAGCACAGACATAAAACATGGATGTTTGGTTATCGGGATATTCATCTTATGTGAGAATGGTTGTCGTTCTTCATTTTGAAGCCACATCAGGTAACTAGATTTGTTTTTGTTCGTCAGTAAAAGTGCCTTAATTTATTTTATTGAAAGTAAGAGGAAATTGATTTATTGCTTGAAAATAAATTGGCGTCTATTTTTTAAGGAAGAGCTTTTTGATTTCTTTGGAGAAAGTAGAATTCCTTGTGTCTCAATGATAGTTTGAACTTAAAACAAGAATAGCTGGATCTTCTAATTGCAAGTAAATTTTTTTTTTTTTTTTGTATAGTTTTTAGTTTCTTGCTTATTTCGTTTAAAAATGACTTTTTACAATATTCCAGTTTGAAAAGTGAGCGAGCAAGTAAATATGTTCCAGTATATAGTTTGAAAGAAAAAGTTACTTTGATATCACACTTTCTCTTGAAGAGACAGACTTTCTCATATAGAGTTGACAAATTAACGCAGACATAAAACATGGATGCTTGGTTATCGAAATATATATCTTATGTGAGAAAAGTTGTCGTTCTTCATTTTGAACCCACGAAAATGGTTTTCGATTTTTTCGGAGACAGTTGAATTCTTTGTGTCCGTCCAGTAGTTTTAACTTAAAAAAAAAAATGTGGCTGGATCTTCTGACTTCAACTAAAAATTTTTTGGTATCGCTTAAAGTTTCATGCTTCTTTCATGTCATTGAAAAATAAATTTTTACGGTATCCTAGTTTGGAATGTAAGCGAGCAAGTAAATATGTCTCAATATATTATTTTGAAAGAAAAAATTACTTTGATGACACACTTTGTCTTGAAGAGTCAGCTAACTTTCTCACATAAAGTTGACAAATTAGCACAGACATTAAATATGAATGTTTGGTTATCGGGATATTTATCTTATGTGAGAATGGTTGGCGTTCTTCATTTTTAAACCATAACAGGTAACTAAATTTGTTTATGTTCGTCAGTAAAAGTGCTTTAATTTATTTTATTGAAAGTGAGAGGAAATTGATTTATTGTTTGAAAATAAATTTGTATCCGTGTTTAAGGAAGAGCTTTTCGATTTCTTCGGAGAAAATAGAATTCCTTGTGTCTCACTAGTAGTTTGAACTTAAAACAAAAATAGCTAGATCTTCTCATTGCAAGTAAATATTTTTTTATATCGTTTTAAGTTTCTTGCTTCTTTCGTTTAAAAATGATTTTTTACAATGTTCCAGTTTGAAAAGTGAGCAAGCAAGTAAATATGATCCGATACATTAGTTTGAAAGAAAAAGTTACTTTGATGACACTTTCTCTTGAAGAGTTGGCAAACTTTCTTACATATAGTTGACAAATTAGCGCAGATATAAAACATGGATGCTTGGTTATCGGGATATTTATCTTATGTGAGAAAGGTTGTAGCTCTTCATTTTGAACCCACGAAAAAATGTTTTCAATTTTTCGGAGACAATTAAATTCTTTGTGTCCGTCCGGTACTTTGAACTTAAAAAAAATGTGATTGGATCTTCTGATTTCGAGTAAATATTTTTTGGTATCGCTTTAAGTTTCTTGCTTCTTTCATTTAAAAATTAAATTTTTACGGTGTCCCAGTTTGGAACGTAAGCAAGGAAGTAAATATGTCCCGATATATTAGTTTGAAAGAAAAAGTTACTTTGATGATACACTTTGTCTTGATGATTCGGCTAACTTTCTCACATAGTGTTGACAAATTGACACAGACATAAAACATGGATGCTTGATTATCGGGATATTTACTTATGTGAGAAAGGTTGTAATTCTTCATTTTGAACCCACAGAAAAGGTTTTTGATTTTTTCGGAGACAATTGAATTCTGTGTCTGTCCAGGAGTTTGAACTTAAAAAAAATGTGGGTGGATCTTGTAAGTAAATATTTTTTGGTATCGCTTTAAGTTTCATTCTTCTTTCATTGAAAAATAAATTTTTACGGTGTCCCAGTTTGGAACGTAAGCAAGTAAATATGTCTCAATATATTAGTTTGAAAGAAAATGTAACGGCCCCGGAAACATTAAAATGAAATGAGTATTTAAATATATCAAATGCGGAAGCGAGATCAAAATTTCAGTTAACATCCCTTACACGAAAAACCAGAAACGTACTTAAAATATAAAAGATTAAACTAACTAAGAGAGAAACTCGAAAATAAAACTATGAGTATGACTACAGAGTCTCTAGGTATCCCCTTCGTCGTCCTCCTGCGGAACGGGCTCGGGAACCATGTCTTCCTGATCTGAAATGGTTAAATAAGGAGTGAGCTACACTAGCCCAGTAAGAACATCACGATATCTCACCGTCACGGAGGTAAAGGTGGGTAGAAAAACACAAAAAGACCAATGGAGCATAATTTACAATAAACTCGTTTATTAACATGAAAACCTTTACCATCCACTTACCTCAGTGGAATTTATGAAAACAATATAAGAAAAATAATAACATTATCACAATCATGGAATAATATAAGTTGTAAAACATAGCACTTATCACGCCTTTTGTAGTTCAATCATTATACAACATATCCTTTTCTCATTTACCAGCCTACTAGTTTCCATGGGGGTCCCGCTACCTGTTAACCTTTAACATTCATAATCAGTTTCCAGGGCCGTCCCCATACCCCGTCCGGTATGGGCGCCAAAACCATAAACCTCAATACCCCGTCCGGTATGAGGGTGAAACGGGCCGTCCCCATACCCCGTCCGGTATGGGCGCCAAAACCATAAGATCTCCATACCCCGTCCGGCATGTGAGACCACAATTCCGGTAGGGTTCCCTACGGACCCGGTCCGTCCACCATCTCCCAGGATATCTAGTCAGGCTGACCCCATCATACAATTATCAGTCTATACAATGTTTCATTTCCCTTTTCCTCAATAAGCGTCATCAATTCACATTTAAACAAGCAAATCGTAATTCATGCCGAACAGACAACATACAGTATCACTTCTTCAGTCATTCAACCCATAATTAATAAAACAGTAATATATGCATTCGAAACTATAAAATGAACACATCAAACCCCATAATGCATTTAAAGCTGTAAAACAGGCCAAATAACAGTAAATCATCAATCACACTAGACTCAGGCTCCATTAGCAACCTTAAGCAATTTCACACATGCGTTAATTCAAGAAATACCGTTTTATCATTTTGAACTTTAATACCGTGATAGGAAATAGGGTGAGGGGTCCTTACTTGTTTTCGGGATCCGAATACGATTCACAGTGCGCCTGCAGGCCGTCCCTAATTTTCCCTGAATTTTTCCCGGGGAACTGAAACACACTAACAGTACCTGCACGTGTTCCAAAAAAAATCCAAATTAGGCCCAGGGCCCCTTTCGGACCAAATCGCAACTCCGGCACGGCGGCTTTGCCGTGCTCCGGCGACGGCGCCGCCGCTGGCGGCGGCGAGTCGCCTCGGGTTGGCTGTTTTCGGCCGTTTTCGGCCACGCTCGCATTGGTCCTTGTCAGAAAACAACCCTAGGGCCCTCGGGGGGCCAAAAAATCACGGAAAAACGGAGCTTACCGGCGGCGGCGCTCTCGGGTGCAGCGGCTCTCCGGCGAGGTTCGTGTTTTGGTGATTCGGCTCCGGTCAACCTGTAGAGAAAAGAATGGTGATCACGGTGATATAAAAATTGCATCGAACGGAGGCCGGGAAGGGCCTCGTCGGAGGCAAAAATCGAGAGGGGGCGCGGCGGCGCCGCTGGGCTTCGGCCGCGTATTCCGGCT